ACCCCCGATATATAGAACTCCTACCGCTATAAGTATATTCGCCGCATTCGCTTCTCCGTTATCAATAAATATACCATCAAATTTAATGTCGTTTATTTATATTTTCTGTTTCTCTTATGTTTTGTACACACTTCTTTGAGCACCTCTATGTAACATCGATTTCACGATAATAGGGTTGAGCTTGAATCGAGATGATTCCCTCGATTCTAACTATATCGGCGAGGCTCGAGAAATTCGCTATAGGAGTAGCCGCTCTGCTGGCATTTAAGGCAATGACATATCCGCGAAAGAAAAGCGAGAAAAGTACGGGAGTATGACAATCGTTTCTCAAAACGTTAAATTGTATAAAAATTGAGAACATGGCGATAAAAAGATCGATGCTCCAATTAAATGATGTGTAACCATTATTTTTGCAGCGAGGATAACATTAGATGTAAATAATAGTGATGTCAAGCTGATAATTATATAGGATTCAAAGTAGAGTTCAGTAATTTTATGAAATCATTATCTTTAGCAGAGATCGTTATTGAGATTGATCACAGGAAAACTTTTTGCGTCCCTTCTCCTTACAATTAACTTTAAATTATGCAGTGCCCATTACATCGCATTGTCCTATTTGAAAAGGGAAGGTATATTTATAATTTTAATAAATCTCTCAATTGTCTTTCTACAAGATTTTGTTCTACAGTTATAATCACTATGTTTAAACGGGCTAAAAAAATAAATTACCGGGAACAAATTTTCCGCGTGAAAATTTTCTCTATTTTCATAGTCGTCGAGTAACAATTTGCGTTAAAACAATTGACTAGGTAACCTTTTAACGAACCGACGCAATTCCCACAACGAACCCTCGCCGTTCGCTAATTATGACTATAGCCACCGACCGTTTTTCTCTAATCGGCGCTTTACAGCTGTTCAATTTCTACGCGCGTCTACAAATCGTGAGAAAACAAATGGATATGCTTCCCTTTCGATCGTAGCTCCCTTTTAAAACTCCGGTTTGTTTTTTCATAATGGCATTTAAGTCCGACGAGCACAGTCCTTCTCTATACACGCTTGAATTATCAGTTGTGACTATATACAGGATGTCCCACAACCGGCGGTAAAATCGAAAGCAATACGATTCTCTTTAAAAAAAGGAAATTAAGTCTACGCAATTAAATATTGCGAATTATTTTAATATATGATCGCTAAATATTGACTGTATTTAAGTATTGCTTGAATGTAAATGCATAGCCTGCTCTTTATCGTTCATTACATACGGAAGAAGTTCATTACAGAGAATGAAGCTTACAATGCGTGAGCATTCAAACAGCAGCCTTTTAATTGCCTAAACAGTACAATAAATAATTTGCAAAAATAGAACTCTTGTACAAAATTTATTAATGTCGATTATTAATTCCTTTTTTTATTGGCTCCTAACAATTGGCTGTTTCTCATTAAACAAATTAATTAATGAAATTTGTAAAAAGAAAGAGTATTGTGGAATAGATTACAAATAAACGGACACAATGAGCAATTTCTGCAGAATAAAACAAGATGGCAATCCTTTAACATTGTTGTGTCCTATTTTCTTGTTTTTTTTTTTTTTTCAAGTATCGGAAATTGCTTTAGGCTTTACCTCTACTAGTGAGAACGTTCTGTTTACGTGTACGTATAATATATAAATGTATATTATGCATATATATTACCACGATCCGGAAGTTTAAGTGTATCGACTAATAACTATACCCGCGAGACTACCTTAAATAAAATAACTTGTCGCACGGAATGGCATTTTCTTTTTTTACGAATTAAAATGGAAATTGCACATGTTTTAGTTTTTATACTCGTAACACATGAATATCAATCGTTGTATCGAATCGTTGTACTAGCATAATAATAATAATAATAATAATAAATACTAATAACAATAATAATAAATAATAAATAATAAATAATAATAATATTAATATTACAATGACAATAAATTAGGACGAAAAATTGTCAAGAAATTAATACGTGATATATGAAAAATGTAAAAACGAAATAGCTCCAGGATGAAAATGTTCTGAAAGAAGTATATAACTTTCAATATCTTGACAATCCGTCAATAATAAATACAGGAACAAATAATTACGACTATGGGATCGAGAAAGTAACAATATTTCTACTATACAGAGAAATAAACGCAGAACGAAGAATACGGTACAAACGAACGATACAATAAGCGAATAAACGATAACGAACGAAACAGCCAAAGGAAATTAGGGAGATTTGAGACTTACGCAAGTTTTCAAGCGAGCGCTGCGTAATGTTGCAGATTTAATTTTTTCGTTGTACGTCTACGCAAATAAATTAGTATTGCTTAATCGTTTATTGTTCTATAGCCGTATATATTTATATGCTTATATATGCATTAATAGCAGCGTGGCGTATTTATTAGCAGCTAATGCTGCGCGAGATGGAATTTAAAAAAATTGAACAAAGCTCCACTGCGCGTCAAGCATTATCGGCCGATCTTAGACACACGATTCGGTCCGAAGAACGAGCTACGCGAAAAATATTGTTCGTTCTGTTCTCCTTTTTGCCGGCGAGATTTCTTTCTACTGTACATGCAAAATATGTTATCGTTTCTCGATAATATGATCATTGCAACAACAAAAAAATGATCGGACATATTGCCCGCATGCTCATCGGCCGTAATAATTATTTTAGTGTAATTATTTTTTCCGCTGGGCGACGTGAAGCGTGATCCACACCCCACTGATTGCGTTTATATTCTGTGTGATTATATTCTCTCTCTCTTTCTCTTTCTTGTTTAATGAAAAACGTAAATAAAATTATTTAAGCCCACGATTAAATACATAGCAATACACTATCGATTTTATTTCATTTCGAAATATAAAAAATCAATTAATTGTTATGTGGCTAAATTAATAATTATCTTTCATACGGTTCCACAACTGTGGCGCAACATAATGCGCTGATTGAATTATGAATGAATATAACAAATTTATTCTGATAACGTAATTCAATATGTAGACCAATATATTTGACGTATATTCATCACGCAAACATCATTAATAACTTTTTCATGAACATGATTAAATACTCAATGCGGCACGATCTATGCAATTAGTAGAATAAAGCTGAATTGAATTTATTAGTTTTGCTTGTATAAAATTATCAATTGATATCAATATATAGGAGCGATTCACATTATTACAAATAGTATAGAGATTTTTTTAATATAATAATATAACATTACAGTACGTAAAACACAATGTTAAAAAGTACCCTGTCAAGTAAATTAAAAGGAACAATTTAAAAATTACAAAAGCAAAACCGTTACTATTTCAAAAAATCAATACCGATTTGACATTTAAGATCCTCTATCTTTAACAGAAAAAAAAAAAACAAAAAAAAAAAAAAAAAAAACAAAATAGACCAGGGGGTGTGGATTGGGCGATCATTTTCCATCATGCCTAAGCATATCGTCGGTTCTTGCACGAGTACTCCATTAAACTTCGATGTGTTCGCCTCTATATGTATAATTATATAATTCGTTGTGTCGAAACATTGCTTTGACCGTACGTGTCGTCATATTTTTTTTTTTTCCTTATATTGCTTCTATAAAATATGTGTATAACAATGTTACGCATCTATTACTCGAATTTTGCTCTAAATACGTGGATGTACGTGTAAGTCTCGGTCTATACGATACCATACGCGTGCTTGCGCGCCCACGATCGCAAGCATACCAGTCGATTCGCGCGAGCGACTACCCCCGCGACACAACCCCTCGCGCATTATTTTCCACCATCGATCATTCAATATCACCGGCATAGCCGCTCGTTTCATGACTGAAAATATGCGCGTGTTACCAGTTACCACGTGGCGCGTAAATCGCATATTCGTGCGAAATACGCAGGTGTGCGTCGACGATTTAGCTTGTGAAAAATGAGGAAGGATAAAGATTTCCACATCAAGGCTCAAGCCCATATCTTCTGTAAGAATACTCGTTCATTTGCCGAAGGCATAACTTCGACTATGTACACTCGTTGGTTACCGCACTTATCGATTAGCTATAGCTTTCATCGTTCTCTATCCCAATGGCTCGAACTCGATGAAATATTAAAAAGAAACGTCTACCGCGAAATGACTGTTAACCTTCTTTTTAATCTTAAACAATTTTAAGCGCAAGTATCTTCGAACAGCCACATTAGCATTGTTATACCAAGTGCAATGCAATTGTTGAAATTACGTAGCCAATATATTTGGAAATATTTTTTGGGACTCTCGTCCCCAAGCAATGTTATTCGAAGTCATCGTTACTTAAATCTTATTGATCAACCGCAACAGATGGCATAATCGGTTCCGTTTAGTTCCGTTACTCTTTCGAAATACCTATGTACGTCCAATTAGCAATTATTCCTATAGGATTAGATTCCGTGCTTACAATTTTCCTGACTGAAAATGAATTTTAACCAATAATTAATTGATTGCGAATTATGGAATCATCGATCACACCTGCGCGTTTCGATGGGTCAGTCTCGATCGCAATGAGAAGGATCGAGACCGAGATTCGACGAGCGCGGCTCGTGAACCGCGATTATGGATCCATCATCGGTCTGGCGAATTCTGGATCTCTCTTATTTTAACTCCCCCGTTTTTAATTTAGGCAGCTAAATATTAATAAATAATGTCTTCGTAACGAGCTTCGCGGACTAGAATCGTACGCGCTAGTAAATATATATACTATATATAATAATATAATATAATAATATAATATTATATAATGTAATAGGTATATAATCGACTAGAGTGACTAGACTCTGCAGTGTGGACGTCATCGTTCGACGTGTTTTTTTTTTTCTTTTACGACTTAACATTACTGGACGTTTTTATTAATGTTAGACATTATTAATAAACTCACGCTCTCCCTCTCTCTTGCTCCCTTTCTTTTCTTTTAATTCTCTATTCGTCTTTCCTTTTCACTCTTGTTTTCTTTCTTTCTTTCTTTCTTTCTCTCTTTCGCGCTTTCTCTCTCTCTCTCTCTCTCTCTCTCTCTCATTTCTGTCTCTACTGGCACTTTTCTACTTAAAATCTACGGGCAAACCTTATATCCTCTCCTCTGCTCTTCGTACCCTCGCGCCTCTTCGCGATCAAGCGGCGATTATAGGGCACCGCTAGCTCTCTCTCGAGCCTTCGATCGTCGTGGCGTCGTTGCTCTCCTTCTCGAAGCGCTGCTACAAGCCTCGATTGGTGTTCTGTTGCTGCGTGGCGTTGTTACCGGCATGTTGCGGCGGCTGCTGCTGCTGCTGCTGCTGTTGCTGCTGCATCCCCTCGTCGCGCAGGCACGCCGATTCTAGGTGTTTGTTCAAATAGGACTTGAGGGCGAAGGTCTTGTGGCACCTCGAGCACTCGTAGTTCTTGTCAGCCGAGTGCGTCTGCATGTGCGCCCTTAGATTCGAGCGATCGGCGAACGCCTTGCCGCAGTGAGCGCATCCGTACGGCTTCTCGCCGGTGTGGCTGCGCAGGTGACCCTGCAGTAGCCAAGGTCGCGAGAACATCTTGCCGCAGACGCCGCAACTGTGGGCGAGCTTGTGCGTGAGCACGTGCATCGCCAGGGCGGGCATACTGACGTACGCCTTGCCGCAGTGAATGCACTTTTTGGCCGATTGGGAATCGAGACTGCGATGCGTCTGCTTGTGCCGCGACAGGTTCGACGACGTGGCGTATTGCTTGCCGCACTCGGTGCACGTGAATTTCGGCCTGTCCGGCTGGGCGGCCTCTTTATCGGGCACGGCGGCACCATTGCCGTTACCGCCGCGTCGTTTCGATCGGCCGTCGGACACGAAGAAGGCCTCGTAGGTGTAAGCGACAGTCTTGCTGCTGCCGGTGGTGCTGTTGAAAGGCGGATTTAATTATCATGACTCTCGGACGATGAGGGTTCAGACACAATGAAAGAAACAAGGAATAATAGATTTCAATCTATTCTCTATGAGAATCATGTATTCGAGAACCCTGTGTATCCCGATGTATCCAGGTTCTGGTTAGGGGTTGAAATCTATTATTTCTTGTTCCTTATTCCGAAGTATTCCTTTCATTGTACCTGGGCCCTAAAGCTTTTGGAACGCACTGTTGAAGTTGGCAGAGCCGAAACGTTTTGCTACATGTAAGAACGTTAAAAGTTGAAAATGACTTCTATTGTTGTTTTCTTTATTCTTTTTCTTTTTTTCTTTCTTTCTTTTTTCACATATTACATATTCGAACATTGAGAGAACATAAAATTATTTACATTGGATATAAAATCTACAATCGTAGTCCCCACATTACATATTGTGTTTCCTACAAATAATAGTAAACACAAATCAATATAAATAATAGTATTAAAACAAATAAATAATATTTCTTTTTTAAAGTGTCGACGTTAAGTGTGTTACTGCTAGGGAAAAGATGGAAGGGAGTTACATCGTTGAAGCCTGAGAGACTTACCTGTCCCTGCCGACGTTGCAGTTTCCGCCGGTGGCTTCCGCGGTCGCAGGCGACTGCGGTTGCGGTGGCGTTTGCTCCTGTTGGCGTAGCTGATTGGTCTGCGAGCTAGGTACCGGCACGAGCACGGAGACCGGTATAGACTGTATACCGGTCGTTGGTTGTAACTGTGGTGGTGGCTGCTGCTGTTCCTGTTGTTCCTGTTGTTCTTGTTGCTGCTGCTGCTGCTGCTGCTGCGACGCGGGCACATTCGGCGCTGCAGCAACAGCGGCAACGGCAGCGGCGGCTGGAGGTGGTGGTGGTGGTGGTGGTGGCGGCGGCGGTGGCGGTGGTGGCGACAGGGTGTGAATAAAAACGGAATGCGTGGGTGCGGCGGGCGACGCGCTGAGATCTAGAATGGCCTGCGCGGCCGATAGATCCTCCTCGGCGGACGTGCGTATCTCCGAGATCGATTGTAGGCTGTAAGGACGGTAGATGTCCTTCTTTTTCGGCGGTAAGGAGAGCGCAGTCCCAGTGCTGGTGAAGGACATCGAGAGGCTCTTTCGCGGCGGCAGGCATAGCGATGCTGCGGCAGACGATGACGTTGAAGATGAGGACGATGATGATGATGATGATGATGATGACGACGATGATGGATTTGTAGCGATGACCGTCGCCTGATGCGACGGCGTTTGATGCAGACCCGGTCCAGTCAGCACCGAAATTGGTAAATCTTGCTGCGCGACTGGAGGCGGTGGTGATGGTATTATCGGACGCGCTAACTCCGCCGCGGAGCGTAACGTGGCGTACTTTGGCGGCTCCTCGTGATTAATCCACGTCTCGTGCGTGTAACCTGCAAGAGGGGAAAAAAATGGATCGATCTATAGACACACAGACTAGAGCGTGGAATAGAGCGGGTCTCTTTCGTTTATTTTTTGCGATAACGTTTAGTTTTCTGAATAGCGCATATTGAACACTTGAAGATCGTACTTGTATTCTCAACGAACAATTACGATTGTACAAGGTAGCTGTGAGCACGTCACTGCAAAGAGGTATTATTTTATGTTACTTTGAGATTGAAACTAACGGAACAGCCCCGCTCTATCCTATATTTGATCACGCTATGGGCTAAAGGCATTTTTTGTCAAGCTGAAAATCGCTTGTCATAGATACCGTCGGAATCATTAGGGATACTATTTGCGCTTAAATATAGCGGTGATTTATTCTTATATATGCCTTTCGCGAAGAAGGAATAAGCGCGTTCTGCGCCTGATAAATGTGTATGCTAAACTACTACTAATTAATGAGAGAGGTCGAGATACACATCATCAGCGATCCGAGTCTAAAATATTACCATTGATTTACTACGTATCTTCTCGGAATTTATTGTTAAGACATCCGTGTGAATCTAAATTTAATTTATTCATGTAATTCGTACATGTCCAAACGTAACATAGGAATACGTACATATTTAATACGTACGCTATATACAATATAAATCCTGAAAATCCTCACAATGGAAATAGCAGCTGCTATTCCAATTTATAATATTCCCCTTGAGAATTTTTTCGTACGAAACATCCAAGTGATACAACAACGGAAGGGTAACGAAAGTGCGGTGGATGCACGTAGGTACATACTATATAACATCTCACTCGTTCTCGACGGCATGAATATTCGAGTTCGTGAATCACTCACGAGTTGCGTGGCGTTTCATTTCCTGCGCGCCAGCTGTTTCCACCGTATATACCGGTCATTAACGGGTATGAAGGGGACGAAAAAAAAGTCGGGAGTGCAGGAGTCGGGGTGCGCTACTGGTAACGCGGCACGTGAACTATACGAGGGTATAATAATGCGGTGTGTATCTGTTGCGCGTCGCTCGCTGTTGCGCAGGGTTGTCGT